CCCAGTCCTAGCTGACCTGACATTCCATCGAGAGTGTCCTCCAAGCAGTGTTGTGCCGAATGTGGGAGAGAAAGTTAGAATTTAATATATATGTATTTCTATCCAAAAGCAAGAAACTCAAGACTTCTAACATTTGGCATCTAGCCTGACCCACGTCCTCCTGATTGTTGGCCTGACATATCCCCTGCATGAGTCAGTCTCTGGAAGGAGTGAAAATATTCCATTAGGCAGAGGACTTGACAGACTTATCCTCACTCTGTTGCTTGTTTTTAATATACTGTGGCATGCTAATGCTTCCCTGTGCCCAGTTCCAATGAAATCACAGTTTTCAATGTCTAATTAAGCTAAATGAATACTCCTTGAAAAGTAGCCGTTGTAGGGCGTGTTGGCTCATGCCTGTGATTTCAGCCCTCGGGAGGCTGAGGCAGGAGGACCACCTACAAATTCAAAGTTAGTCTGGCCTACACAGTGAGTCCCAGGTCAGTGTGGACTACAGAGTGAAACCTTGCACTTGCATATGCACTCGCGCGTGCATACACACTTTAAGGTAGGCAAATAGCTGAAAGAGATTTCTGTAATATGACAAGAAAACAGCAGTGTCTCCCCCAGGGAAGACGAGATTTTGTGTGGCAGGAAAAATGAGGTTCTGCCTATCAAGCAGACTGTAGTGGACCTGTTTCTACAGGCATCTGTGCTTGCCAGCAGAAAGGTAAAGCTGGGAGAGGTATCAAATAAGCAACTGTTGGGAAAGGAAGGTAAATCCATCGGGGAATTTGGAGACCAAGTTTAAAAGCATTCTCGTTATTTCATGGTTTTGGTAGCTAAGAACCTCATGCATTTCCAAGATCTTTCATATCTGCCCTTCAAACAAGGAACAAAAAAGAAAAGAAATTTTTAATTTGCTTAAAAAAAAAACTTTCTAAATGAAGAGTTTGAGTGGGTTTAAAATCCATTTGCCGGAGGTATTAAAATGCAACATTATTCCAATTTCTCCGTGAGAACAGCTGATTGACATGAGAGAAGATGGGAATTCGCAAGCCAGTTTTGAACAAAGCCTCTCCATAATTGGTGGATAAAATTGAAAATTAATGTCACGATTTCCTGAACTGAGCCCCACAACGCACCTCGTCCGTCTGGATCTAGGTGTCTTCGTGAGGCCTGTTTTCCATCCTTGGCAGCCATTAAAAAACTGAACTTTGAAATAAACCAGATTTTAAATAAGGCATTCAAATCCCGGCCCCGCAAAGTGTAAAACCAAGATTTTTCAAAAATAAACAAGCATATTCAATCACGTTGTTCTCATCGGGAGAGCAAAAAGGGATGTGAGCTAAATGAAACACCATGAAATCATTTTAAGATATTGTTCATTTTCTGTGGTCTCTTTATAGTTTTATGATGTGCGTAATATCCTGTATGAACTTATATGTCATGTGTATATTTGAAAATGGACATGCGTTTTCATAATGTAAGTACTTGTATACGTTCACATGGGTAGTTCGTGTGTATTTCTATAAAAGTTCTGTGTATGCACATACAAACAGACGGGAGCTGCGTGACTACTCCACATCTTTTATTGATGGTTTATATGAACAATAAACCCTGAATTGAAGGATGTTGGCAGTGCCTGTGTTCCCTCCAGTCCTGGCACTAGAGATGACATGGGTCCTACTCTGCCCAGGGTGTGGACACATGTCGTAAAGATGTCCCTCGACTGGGCCTGGCCTATCCTGCAGGGGCAAGGGGTCAATTAAGGCTTCAGGCATGTGTGTTGTTGTAGGTTAGAAGTCACAAGCCTGAAAGAATTAACTGAGGGCAGGAGCTGCCCCACTGTAGAGAAGTGATCTCCTACCCCTAGAAAAAGAGCTTGCTGGGCTGGTGGTGGCGCATGCCTTTAATTCCAGCACTCAGGAGGCAAAGGCAGGCAGATCTCTTGCGTTTGAGGTCAGCTTGGTCTACAGAGTTAGTTCCAAGATAGCCAGGGCTACACAGAAAAAACAAACCAAAAAGAAAAAAAATCCCTCTCTCTCTCTTCCTCACCCTTCCCCTGCTAAGAAGAAAGAGCTAAAGGCTGCCAGTTCAGGCTAAGGGGGACTTCAAAGGACACTAAAAGTCACTCTTTTTTTTTTTTTTTTTTTTTTTTTGGTCAGCGCAGCAAATTGGCAGTGGAGGCCGTGTGAATTCAGACAGCCAGAGACTGGGCCCGTGGCCTTTTTCTGCTTGTTATCTGGACCTTAACATGGAGTTTGGTCCTTGGTTACCAAGATGACCACAGCAGTCTCTGCTGAAGAGTCCTTTCTGCTGTGAATTTTAGATTGGCATGCTGCAAATAAAGCCTCTGATGCCCAGGAGGCTAAATACCCAGGGCGGTCGTAAGAATACCTCTCCCCAAAGTCTTAGGTTGGTCACAAGCCAGGCATAATGGCATATGCCCGTCATTCCAGCACTTGAGAGGCTAAGGCAGGAGGGTTGTGAGTTTGAGGCCAACCCGGGCTATAATAATGAGACCCTTGCCTCAAAAACAGAGAGAGAGAGAGAGAGAGAGAGAGAGAGAGAGAGAGAGAGCGCACCTGTACTTCTGCTACCTGTGGAGTGGCTCAACCTCCCCTGAAGCAAAAAGACTTCCCTGAGGAAAGACTGTCATTCCATTCCATTTCCTCCCTGTGCTTTTTCTGCCTGTAGATGTTGTTTCCTGTATTTTCATTGCTTACAGCAGAAAATCCAGGCTGCCTAGACCAACCTATAATGGCCTATTGTTCTCCAATCCCAGCCCACTGCATTAGTCAGCTACACGGAAAGGGGTTGTGGGTTTGAATGAGAACAACCCTGATAGGCTCATGTATTTGAATGCTTAGTCCCCAGTTGGTGGAACTGTTTGGGAAGAATTAGGAGGTGTGGCTTTGTTGGAAAAGGTGTGTCACTGAGGTTTCAAAAGCTCAAGGTTTTCCCAGTTAGCTGTCTCTGCCTCATGATTGTGTCTCAAGAGGTGAGCTCTCAGCTATTGCTCCAGCACCATGTCCACCTGCCTGTTGCCATGCTCCCCACAATGATAGTCATGAACTCACTCTTCAAAATTGTAAGCCCCAAATAGACACCTTCTTTTCTAAGTTGCCTTGGTCATTGTGTCTTATCACAACAATAGAAAATTAACCAAGACAGGGGCCATTCTAGCTAATTTGGTTTTGATTTTGTTTTTTGTGTTTTTTTTTAAAAAAGTTTATTTATTTATTATGTATACAATATTCTGTCTGTGTGTATGTCTGCAGGCCAGAAGAGGGCACCAGACCTCATTACAGATGGTTGTAAGCCACCATGTGGTTGCCGGGAATTGAACTCAGGACCTTTGGAAGAGCAGGCAATGCTCTTAACCAATGAGCCATCTCTCCAACCCCATTCTAGCTAATTTGAACAGAAAGAATTTTATGCCTTTATCCTTTGCTAGAGAACGCATTGGAAAGGCTGGAGAAGTCAGCTACGTCTGCAGCAGATCCCGGAAGAACATGCTTGAAAGAATCCCTGGGGAAGCTGTGCCTCTCTGGTACTGTCAGGGAGCTTTTTAAAAAAAAAATGAGGAACCACTCAGGGACCACTGACTTCCAGAACCATGCTCATAACTGATCAGGGGATCGAAAAGTCATTTCAACAACTTTGTAGCCACCATACTGGAGACTGGATACCAGAAGGCAGCTGTGCAAAGTTCCAGTGTCCACACCATGCTGACCATCCGAAGGAAGATGCTTCTTGTACCAACTCCTTACCCCCAAGTCTGCATAGCAGACATAACTATGTTAGCAAGATCCTAACAGCAAAGGAGTCTGAGGAACGCAGTGTCTAGCACTCATGCGCCATAGCTCAGAAGTGCTCACTAGGAAGTTAGGTGGGGGGGGCCACACTATGCACACATTCTCCCTCAGCAAGTTTGCCAAGCTCACCTGTGTTCCCACTACAGCAATGATTCCAAGGGATTCTTGGGAATGCCCCCTCCAATTCCGTCTGCCCTATTTGAGGCCAGGCAGTGAGGGTGCACACCTTGAATCCCAGCACTTGGAAGGCAGAGGCAGGTGGATCTTTGTGAGTCCGAGGCCAGCCTGGTCTACAGAGTGAGTTTCGGGACAGCCAGGTCTATGTGGAGAAACCCAGTCCTGAAAAACCAAAACCAACAACAATGAAAAAAAAATAAAAAACCCTCTGCCCTTTTTGAATCTATGACACTTTTCCTGGGCTTTTTTGGGTTACTATGGGCTGAAGTTGCTCCGTAGGAATATAATGCAAGCCACACATAGAGTAGGTTGGATAACAAGCATCCAAAGGTATCGAATATATCAGGTCCTACCCTTTAGCACCTTAAATAGTAATTAAATTGTGGGAGATGGGGACGGACCTTTGCAGATGTAATTAAGGATGTCAGGGTGACGAGGGTCACCTTGATTATCCATGATTCCGTAGCTGCCTTCTCAAGTGGCCTTGGACCAGATGGACAGAGGGGATTGAGACTGGCCAGAGTGGAGACGGGAGGGAGGCAGTCACAAATTCAAGGACTCCGGGCAGTTCCCAAAAGCTGCAAGAGGCAAGGAGTGGATCCTCCCCTCTAGCCTCCAAAAGCTACGTGTCCTAGCTGGATTTGGAGCTCATGACTGTGAGACAACATATTTTGGTTGTTTAAAGTCACTGGGTTTGTGGTCATTTGATACAGATGAAATTAATTTTAATCACCTATTTTATTTAACCCAAGAGCCACAAAGCATCGTCATTTCAACACAGCACTGAGATAAAACATTATGAGTAAGAGGGTTAATGAGATGGCTCAGCAGAGGGGAAAGGCCTTTGTTGCCAAGCCCTAAGCCTGAGGTTGATCTTTGGTACTCGTGTGGTGGAGGAGAGAACTGACTCCCACAAATTGTCTTCTGACCCCCTCATGCATACGGTGGCACAGAGTCCCAATCCACCTCACACAGAAAATAGATAAACTTTTAATTATGAATATTACAGCTTACATCCTTCATGTTAAGCTAGTAACATCTAAATTGCATTTTATCCCAAAGCTCTCTCAGTGTGCATTAATCCAAAAGCTGCACCTGACTGATGGCTGCCAGATAGGATAGTGGAGCCCCGGTCTTTGGCAGACCAGCACCAGACTGAGACTGAAACCTTTCCTCCTCGCAGACAGTGAGCTCCTTGGAGTCGGCAATCTTGTCCCTTCATTTCTGTATCCTGTGCCGAAATGCAAGAGTGCTCAATAAATATATTTGAATGAACGATGGAGTTTTCTGAGACCAGGGAGGTTTCTCGCTCAGTGAAATGCCTGCTGTGAAAACTTGAGGCCCTGAGTTCAGCTTCTGGCACCCGCATAAAAAACAGGGTGCAAAGGCATGACCTTGTAATCCCAGTGCTGAGGGGCAATGACACAGGGATTCTTGAGGCTTACTGGCCAGCCAGCCTGCCCTAATTGATCCCATTAAGAGACCCTGTCTCAACAGTAAAAACAAACAAGAGTAGATGGCTCCTCACGATAGACACCTGAAGTTGATCTCTCGCCTACACACACTCACACACACATTCTCACACACACAAACTCACACACACTCTCACACATGCACACATACTACATACAGTCACACACGCGCGCACTCGCACACACGTATACACACCACACTGCGTGCGCGCACACACACATACTACACACACGCACACTCGCACACATGCATGCACACACTCACACACAGGCTCACACACGCGTGTACACACATACACACACTCACACACATGCACACTCACACACACTCACACACATGCACACTCACACACACACATGCGCACTCACACACACACACACCACACACTCACATACATGCATACACACGCACACACACACGTGTGCACACACATACACACTCTCACACACTCACACACATACTCTCACACACACGTTTGCTTTCTGTCACTGTGATAAAAGCACTCTGACCGAAAGCCACTCAGGGGAGGAAAGGGTTTGTTTCTTCTTACACCTCTGACAGAAGGAAAGGCAGTGCAGGAACCTAAGCAGAAAACACGAAAGAATGCGGCTTGCTGACTGGCTCTCTGGCTTCCTCACAGGCTATGCTTAGTTTATTTTCTTCTGCAGTAGTAGCTCAGGACCACCTGTCCAAGAAGGGGCACCACCCACAGTGGACTGGGCCTTCCTACATCAATTAAGACAATATCTCATAGGCTTGTTCATGAACCAACCTGATAAAGTCAATTATTACTCAGTTGAGGCTTGTTTTCTTCACGTGATTCTAGGCTGTGTCAAGTTGACAGTCACTCACTCGGACACACCCAGGCAGAGACAAATATATAAAAGCACACAAAATGGAGCTCCTACAAGGAAGAAAAAACTATCAGAAATAGCACTTTTTGCTTGTTTACTTAATCAGTTTTCCCTCTTCTTTCCTGAGGAAAGTGAAGGAAACATCAAAGAAAGGAAAGGTTTTGTTTTTTAAATGTATCTTTAAACATTCTGCTTAGGGGATCCCTTCTCTTAGGAAGATAAATGCAGAGCCGAAGCCAGAGAAATAATGTAGTTGAGGCTAAAGAAAGCAGGCTATGTCGATTCGTGCCTATAATCCCAGCTCTCTGGAGGCTGAGGCAGGAGGTTGTGGGTTTCAAGTCAACCTGGTCTGTGTAGTGAGACTCAGTTAAAGAAAGATAGGGGAGGGAGAGTGGAAACCACACCAGTTTCTCCACATCCCTTTCAGAAGGCAGCACAAGAGGGGTCCTTCTTGACTCCATTTATTTGTCAGGAGTTACCCTAACGCCCAAACCAAAGATATCACGAGCAGAAAACAGCGGCAGAACAATAGCCCTCAGGAGTACAGGTGCCAAATCCTTCACCAAAATATCATCAAATCGAAAAAGAATTAAGCAGCATAGCAAGAGATTTACCCCAGGTATGCTGATGGAAGACCGTAACCCATCAGGGCAACAGTGTGAGGAAGACAGTCCTACCAACACATATACAAAGACATATCATCCCCTTCAGAATGTTCTTGTGTCCAGCGCCGGGGGTGGGCAGAGGGACTGGGCAAGGTCTGCTGGGCCGCTGAAACTGAAATCAGAGTTCTGAGCCTGCTAAGCTGAAAGAAGTGGTTGCATGTGAACCAAAAGGTCTAATTGCAGAAAGAGAGAGAGAGAAAAATCAAACCCAGGGCTTCCTACATGCTGGGCAAGCTATGTATCAGCTGAGCTACAGTCCCAGGCCATTTCTCCTCCATGTAGCCCAACCCTTCCACCCAAAAAGCTTAGCAGTTGGTCCTCCCACCTGCCAACTAAGCCAAAGCCAGCGGACCAAGGCTGCCTTGGCTTGCAGCTAGCCAAATTCTTCATAAAAAAAAACTACACCTGCATTCACCAAAGCTGGTGTCTGTGGGATCACAGGGATCCTTGCCGATCTCGTTCTGTGCTGCTCTCAAGAAGAGAAGGCTTGACCACTTTGTCCAGCTTCCATTTTGTGGTGGGCACGCTGGCTCAACATGATTCTGCAAAGCCATAGGGCAACAGAAAGCGTTCCAGAAAGCAGACTGCGGAACCTAATAGAGATGCTGGGCAGCCCACTCTGCAGATCAGCCTGCTGGTGTCACCCAGTGTCTTCAGGCTGAAAACCTGCCCCATGGGGCTCTACCACTCATCCTGGCTGGACACTCCCTCACAACGTCCTGAGGACCCCTGGCAGGGAGAGAGTTGGAGTCCTGGAGAAGGAGGGGGTGACTTCCCGCCCTCCACCTAGCAGAGCTTCTTGGGAGAGTGAATTACCGAGCAGGGCAGCGTGCCCTTGATAGAACCCTCCAGGGCCTTCCAGCTTCCTCACTGGAGTCAGAAACCTGATTCCCTGGCTAGAGGTGGCCTTGTAACAGGACAGAAAGTTAGAAAAGACAACACGAGGGCCCAGTAGAGGCGTCCAGATCCACGGGATAGGTCTGGGGAAGGGTATCCAGTAGAAGCTCCCGTTCTCACTGTCTAGTCAGCCCACTGTTTCCTCCTGCCACCTCAGGATGAAAGGGGAAGCCCGCTGCACACCTTGGTCTGGGCATCCTCCTGACCACGTGGTACACGGGAAGGGCCTAACTGGGAGCTTGGAGCCCCCTACACATACCCTAACCGGGGCCTACTAGGCCAGCCCGCCATTCAACGCTCCCACCCCTCGTCCACCTACGCGCGCGCGCGCGCGCGACACACACACACACACACACACACACACACACACACACACACCCCTCCCAGCCTGTGACTGCCCCACCTGGACTGTTAAAACACCTCTGGGGCGGGGCCGGTCGCTGTCAAGGCCACGTGTAGGGCCTCGGGTGAGAAGGGGGATGGGCGGAGGGCGGGCTATCCTTAAGGCGGGTCCTGAGGTTTGCTGGCGCCTGCTGTCCTGACTTACCTGAGTTCAGCACAGTTTGATCCTGGGAGCCGTGAGTGCAGCGGGGATCGTGAACAGGTAAGTGCCTTTACTCATTTGGGTGTGGGTGGGGGAGCTCAGTCCAGCCTAAAGAGATCTAAGGCTGCAGCCGGGGTGCAGGGGTCTCGGTCTTGGCCTGGAGTCTTGGACGCCAGATTAGAGCCTGGACAGACCCAGGCGTCCTGACTCCCAGGCAGAGCTCTGAGACTGGCGGGACTAGGAGACAGTCCGCTGTCCCGCAGGCCTTGCTTGCTGCCCCAGGTGAGGCTTCCTGGATCTTGGGGAGGCAAAGGACAACAAGAAGGTAGGCTCAAAGGATAGGGGTCCTGGGGTTGTGCTTTGGGGAGATTGGAATTTCATCCCCTGCTTTCCCTACCTGGGCTTAAATGATGGCCATGATAAGTTTAAAAAAGAAAAAAAAAAAAGAGTTCAGCAAAGGAAGATCATAGGACTTTCCCAGTACCCCAGGAGGTCTTTGCCCCTGGAGTTTTGGGGAGGAGAAGAGAAAGAAACAGAGTTAGAATCTGAAGAGGAGAAGGTAGGAGGGAGCTGTAAATAGGGCAGAGCTAACTGGAATTCTTCCTGAGACACAGGCGTGTGTGTGTGTGTGTGTGTGTGTGTGTGTGTGTGTGTGTGTGTGCACGCGCCCAGGCACTCCTCCCTAAGACTTAGAGCAGAAAGGAACCAGCTAGAGAGGTACACTGGGAGGACCCGGGCTGTATAGCAACATCCCAGAGGAGCAGAGGAGCCCGTGCCTGGGACCAGGGGTGACTTGGGAAGGTTAGATGTGAATCTGCGAAAGGGCTTCCTGCCCTGGGTGTCTCCTTGGGTTCTCACGTACCAGTTGGTTCCAGAATCCCAAAAGGGGCTGAGGTAGGGGAGACCTTACGCCTGTGGGAAGAGCGCAGGGTGATGGTGGAGAACTGTCAGAGGCAAGAATACCCACCGTGAACTCCCAGACACACACTCGGAGCCTGGGCAAGTCCCTCAGCCTTGCCAGTACTCCCCCCTCACAACTGCTGGGAAATAGAAGGAGTGTCAAGTGTCTGTGATTGTCAGGTCACCGCCCGATGGGAAAACCACTGAGAGCTGTCTGGAGAGGCACAGAGACAGCCTCGGGATGCACATGTCCTGGTCATGGGGGATATGCGGGCTCCAGTGCACTCTGCTCACTCTCCCCAGCCTCCTCTGTAGCCCTGGCAGTGAACCCTGCAAGCTGCGCCTGCTCCCTGGACTCTTGGAGACTATATGGGAAAAGCTGTGTCTTGCTTGGGCTCTGTGTCCTCAGCTGCCCCCAAGGAAGGAGCTCAGGCCAGCTCCCTTCCACTGCATTTATAGACATGCTTCCCCACATGGCATCCCCACCCCTGGACCCAGCCAAGAAGTCAGATAACAAAGCCATAGGAGCCTGAGGTGAGGAACAGGGCCAGGCAGGGTGCAGAGAGGCCAGGCTTTTTGTCATTTGGCATATCAGGGCCCCTTCTCTGTGTCCCCTCTGCCTTTGAACTCTATGTGGCTGAAGGAGTTAAGATTACCAAAGTCCAAAGCCTAGATTTTAAATCCCAGATCTAAACCCTCTGTTGGTTCCTTTCGAAATTTTGTTGTTTATTTGGTTGGTTGGGTGGGTGGGTGGTGAGGGATTGAGACAGGATCTCATGTGACTCCAGCTGGCCGCGAACTCTCTGTGTAGCTCCTCATCCTCCTGCCTCTACCTCTCTTGCAGAGATTACAGGTGTGTACACCACACCCGATCCCTAAAACTTTATTGACTTTTTTGAGTCTGGGTATCTTCAGGGGCAGAATGGACTGAGGACAGAGGCTCTGGCTGGAACGCCTGCTGGACACGGCATGTTGGTCAGTACCTGGCACCTGATGGGGGTGCTCTGTAACCGGGAACCCCTTACGAGGGTGTCATACTCCGTAAGCCCCAATTTCTAAGTCATCTCCGGAACTGTCCAATGGTTTCCCGGTTTCCCATGCATCACCTTGTGGCTTCACCCTCTGACACAGGAGGGAGGCAGCGAGGCTTAAGGTCGGCACGTTCCTGTCCCACCCAGTTTTCTCACTAGTCTGTCCTAGGACCTTTTACCTCCTCCCCTACACACCAGTCCCCGAGAAACAAGTACATAGCATCAAGAGAAACAAGTATGTAGCATCAAGGTTAGACAACAGGAAGAACTTTTCACAGGAAAGGAGATAGCAAGTAAGAGCATTTCTTTTTCTGAATGAGCCCCGGGGGGGGGGGGGGGGGGGGATGACTGTCACCTGATCCTATCACTCCCCAGTGGCTCTCTCTCTTACCTCCAGGTTTGAATTGTCAGTCCTGAGATGAGCCTGAGTCTCAGCAGAGTCTTGCTAGCCCACCTGCCCCACCCTGCCCCTCCAGCCCAAACGCCTCTGTTTCCTGGATACCTTTGACTTCCCATCTGGCCGCTGGGCCTTTGCACATGCCATATGCTGCTTTGAACACTACCTTGCCTCCTCGTTCTTACCCGCCATGCTCAGTTAGCTCCCTCTTTTCTGCTTTGCAAGTCTTCTTCCTTCTCCACAGAAGTCCTCCCTGGCCTTCCCAGCAGAGCCATAGAATCTCCTCCGAGTCCCCTCCCCTGTATCTCTGCTCTTTTCATTGCAAAATGGGACAATAGTGGCACCCACCTCATCAGGTTGTTACAACAACTTGAAATGGGCTTTTTGTATAACTCTCGGAGCCTCTGAACTTAGTAGTTCCTCATACATATCAGCTCACATTCGTTTAGAAATACACGCATGACATAGTAAGTGAATGGCAATCATCCCTTTAAGTCACTTAACCATCACTTGCATAGGCTTAGATCTACCAGACATTGTCCTAAGCATATGATTAAGGCTAGCTCATGAAGGAACTAAGACAGGGAAAAAATTATTTCCTTTGTCCAAACTTCCACAGTTAGTGAGTGTCAGAGCCAGGAAACCAACTGGGCCTTTAACTGAATGAGATGCTTTGTTCTTCACTGAGAACCCAGGCAGGGGCTTCACCTACAGAGGTCACTCAGATCCCACCCTCCTCTTTCAGGTTCTTGGAGCTCTTGGAAGCAAACGCTGGGGTAGAAGTGAGGCTGATCAGAAGCCAGAGCTTAACTGCTGGACTCACGGCCACATCATGTCCAGCTCCCTGCTGACTGGAGGTCATGTGGTCAGCTTGACTCCTCGCGAAGAATCCAGGATGGCCCTGCACCCAAGCTCCAACCCCAGCCTCCCAGCACTGTGTCCTTACTACACCACAGAGAGCTGGGGAACCCAGCCTCTGATGGCCCCCACACTCTGCAAAGGCACCTCTAGCAGGTTCCAGCCTGCCCAGCAAGCAGAAGCCAAAGCTCACTGCCCCCTGCAGCACCCTGGGGAGCAGGCCTCAGGGACCTCACAGGACCTCGACTCCTGCATTGACTTCTCACTGGAGACCCTCAACCAGATGATCCTGGAACTAGACCCCACCTTCCAGTTGCTTCCCTCTGGGACTGCTGGTCCCCAGGCTGAGCAGGCCAGCAGCATCACTTCAAGGAGCAAGAAGGAGGAACCTGAAGCCTTAGGTAAGGATTTGGGAGCACAAGTAAGAAGGGAACTGGGAGACAGAACTCGAGCAAATAGGGGCTCTTCTACGAAATTTGAGGCACAGGGCTTCTTGTCCTGTGGGGAGTACAATGAGCCCTAAACAGACTTCTGACCTTTCTGACTTCTCTGCTGCCCAAAAGGCATAAGTACAGATTTCCCTCACCAGCCAACTCTGCCTGGTCCCTGAGTTTGGAAACTGGTAGACTCCAGTTTCATGTGGTTTTTATGAGAACTCAGATGTGCTGGTCCAGGTAAGCAGCTTCCACAATGATATGCACATAGTAAGAGCTTCCTAAATGCAGAGTCCCAGAACCTTACTTAAGCTCTTTTTTTTTTAATGATTTATTTATCTTTATTTTATGTTCATTGGTGTGAAGGTGTCAGATCCCCTGGAACTGGATTTTCAGACAGTTGTGAGCTGCCATGTGGGTGCTGGGAATTGGACCCGGGTCCTCTGGAAGAGCAGTCAGTGCTCTTAACCGCTGAGCCATTTCTCCAGCCCCCTTACTTAAGCTCTTGATGTTTCTCTTTATAGCCTAATCTGGTCCCCTAAAATTATTGTAGGATTTCTAGGTGGTCCCCGATCCCTGCTTAGGGGACCATCTCTTGAGAAAGGCCCAAGATGGATGGGATGAGGGAGAGGCAGAACACAAGAAGAAGGTTGCTGATTCCCTGTTTGGGAAACACAAGTCCCAGTCTGAAGCTTCTGCCCATTTCCATGGTGTAAATTCTCCCAATTCTGAGCTACTGACAGGACGTCACCGAGCGTACGACTGAAAGTGAAGTAGTCCTGCTCTGTAGAAGAGCATATGTATCAGAGGACATAGTGGCACACACCTGGACACTGGCTTAGAACCGGGGGCGGGGCGGTGAGTTGTGAGTTCTAGGCTAGCCTGCAGTTCATAGCAAGGCCCTGTCTCCAAATTGGCATGGAGGGGGTTTTTAAAGCTGGGAATGTAACTCAGTGATAACCTAAACTGCCCTCAGCACAAAAGAAATAAAATCTCACTGTACCAATACAATAACCATAAAATCTCAGAGCCTGCATTATAGTAAGAGAGTAAGAATGTGTGGGTTTGGGGTGTGTCTGATCTTCCGTATTACACACATATATTTTCATTTTTTTATTCTTTTAAATCTTCTGGAGACAAGAGTCTGTGTAGCCCAGCCTAGTTCTTACCACTCCACCTCCCCTTCTGAACACCGCAACTGGTCAGCTTTCGTTTTTGAATGTAAGCTATCTCACTATCAGTTTGCAGAATGCAGCTGTTAATAATGACCGAGTTCGGCAACCAGCTAGACACCTTCAGAAGCCTGTAGTCTCCAGCTCGTAACAATCTGGTACAAGCTGACACCAGCACACACAGGCAGGGGAATCTGGGAAGCCCTGGGTGCTGATTCGGTTCCCCACACTTGAAACATCTCGAGGGTATTCTGGGAGTGAGGGAGCAGCAGAGGAATCCATCAAGCAGGTCCCCGGGGGTCAGATAGCAGGAATGGGGGGGTGCACACAGAAGCCAGGCTAACATCCACTTCCTGAGCATTTGCTGCATGCTAGGCCCTGTCCCTCTGCTGAGTTCTTCTGCAGGATCTCATGTAGCCCAGGCTGGCCTCAACATGCTAGGCAGCCCAAGATAACCTTAAATTTCTCATATCCTCCTGCCTCCTCTTCCCAAGCGCTAGGATTACAGGCGTGTACCGCCATGATTGGCTTGTATGGAATTTTCCTAACCTACCCCACTGAGAGGAGAATTTGACTCCACTATACAGCTGAAAAACTAAGTTAACATGGGCTTGAATAAGGAACCTGTTTAGCCTGACCCCTGGGTTCAGGCTGACCTGATGCAAGCTATTGACGTCACCTCTATGTCTTTGATTCCTCATCTATAAAGTGGACAAAATAAAGAGTTCCTACCTCCAAGAGTACAGCGATTAAGAGAAAGGATTTGTCACAAGTCTTGGTGAGCGGTGGTAGAGTGGGGCGATTGCCTCTACAGCCAGCCCCAGGGCAGCTTAGATTCTGAGACAGAAGTCGGCACAGCACCCAAGCCCTCTGGCACCCTTCAGGGGATCCTGGCCTCCCACTGCTTCCCCTCTTCCTGCCAAGCCTATTACAGGAGCTGTCTTCTCCTGCAGCAGCCCTTCTGCTGCTGAAGGCCAGTCGTGGGCACAGCACTGCGGGGAAGCGCTTTAGACCTAATTACCGTGGGCAGGAGCCAGCCCAGGTTTTAATGTTCATGCCCCAAGGCAGGGATTCCACCCGGCCAAGACCAGTTGGGGCAAGATCAGTATTAGGAGTCCGCATGCATAGGGTGGGGTGCAGGGTAGACAACAACCATCCCTTCCTCCGCTGAAGGCTTGGTGAAGAGCAGATGACTGTCAGGGCAGTGGTCCCCATCCTCAGATTGTCCGGGGACAACCTGCCACCCGAAGCATGGGTCCATCCAACTCTGGGGAACAAAGAGTACAGAAAGGTTGGCAGTGGCCAGGAGGTCCTTACTGCCCTCTGCCATGCCCCCTACTCCTCCTCCTCTTTCTCCTTTTTTTTTAAAACAAAGTCTTGCTCATTAGTCCAGGGTAGCCAGCAACCAGGCAGCCTCCTACCCCAGTCTCTCTCTAGAGTTCTGAACCACAGGCTCCCTCATTTCCAACCCCTACTCACACGCTCCTCACGCAAACCTCAGAACTCCTCCCTAAAACATCAGAGCGAGGTCAGCACCCCCTCAAGCGGCTAGTCTTCCCTTACCAAGAGTGGCAGATGCCACACCGCAGGCCCGCTGTACCCATCTCGGCCTCCCCAAACCCTCCAGTGGGCCACTGATGCTGGCGAGAAGGAGTTCACAGTCCAGGACACTGCCGAGAATTCTGGGTGAGATTCCTTATATCTTCACATCCTCAGAGTGGATTCTACCCCCCACCAACTCCCCCACACACCCTGGTGCCATCCCATCCATCCTCCTTCGAGGCACCCTGTCATCAGGAAGCAGCAGAGGCTCGCCGGCCTCCTCGCTTGGTAAAGCTAGAGCCGTCCTCTCGTGACTGCCTAGACACAGCTGAATAGATCGTTCGTGGACATTAACTCCTAGGGTGCAGAGTCCCTGCAGCTGCCGTGAAGGAAATCACAGGGGTCTTGTCTCATCGATGTGTTAGCTGAGGTTGAGGAAAGAAGCCATGGTCCTCAGTCACCCCTACGAAGTGGCAGATCAGGCTAGTCCCTATCCTTAAAGCCCTGTTTCTGTCTCTCTCCTTAAACTGGAGTTTGCTTAGAAGAAGCCAACAGGCTTCTCCTCTGAAACGCGCCCCCCCCCCCGGCACTTCTCTGAAACTCTGTCAGCACCCCCCTTCCTTGCCTCCTGTTCACCTCTCTTTATACTTGTCCTTCAGAGTCACCACCCCAGAGGGATCCTGGCTCCTAGACCCAAACACCATCTCCCTTATCCTCTCTACGACCTCCCACCCCATCCTTGGATCAGGTCCCCACATTTCATTTTCCAGCAGTTTCTGCCAGGCAAGGCTGTTTGCCAGTCCCAAGGGCAGGCTGTTTAATAACTGTCTCTCCTCCCCCCACCCACATGCCCTCCCTTCACCGACCAGGCCTGCGGCTGGCGCCTGCATCCACCCTACACTGCCGGGACTTGCCCCACAGGCCTGTAAACAGCGGCTGCACCCCAGGGATGGGGTGGGAGCCTCCACCTCCCCAACCATATTCACCTCGGGACAAGGAGTGGGGGGGTGAGTCACAGCACAGGCCCCTCCCATCCTGCTCAGCTCCCAGGCAAGGTCTTAGATATTTTTATGACCCATGAAGTTGGGGGCTAGGAGCCTCACCAGGTCAAGAGACCCACACCAGAGCAGACAAACACCAGGAAGGCCTTAGAATGGGATCCCAAAGAGTTCTTCTTGTCCTAGAAGAGGCCACAAACACAGCTCAGGGGCAGAAATTGGGACCCTCCACTCCTTTAGTTTTGTGGCATTGGACAACTCACTCAGCCTAGCTGAACCTTGAGTTCTTATTGGTTACACGGGGATCAATAGCATTTTATGTGCATTGGTGTGAAGGTGTCAGATCTCCTGGAACCAGATTTTCAGACAGTTGTGAGCTGCCATGTGGGTGCTGGGAATTGAACCCGGGTCCTCTGGAAGAGCAGTCAGTGCTCTTAACCGCTGAGCCATTTCTCCAGCCCCCGATCAATAGCATTTTAATAGAGCTGCCGTAACAGGACAGGTTACGCTGTGTTGCATGCTAGCAATTGCCTGTCTTTGGCAGAAGTGATGCAAGAATCCTCAGCTCTGCTTCCACTTAATCTCCAACCCCAGTTACCTCCTCTGTAAAACCAATGTCTGGACTACCCAAGGGCCATGCTGAGGGTTAGCGGTGGTTATGGGCATAAATGGTATAAAGTCTTTATAAAAACGAAAGCTAGCCAGGTGGTGGTGGTGCATGCCTTTAATCCCAGCACTTGGGAGGCAGAGGCAGGCAGATTTCTGTGTTCAAGGCCAGCCTGGTCTACATAGTGAGTTCTAGGACAGCCAGGACTGTTACACAGAAAAACCCTGTCTCAAAAAATCAATCAATTAATAAATAAATACAAAAATAGAAGCTGGGGCTGAGGGGTGCAGCTCAATAAAAGGCCTTGCCTAGCATTCATGAAGCCCTGGGTTCTATCCCAAGTACTCCAGTTGACACATTAAAAACTAGATGCGGTGGCTTCTACCTGTGATCACTTAGAAAGCAGAGACAAGATTATCAGAATCAGTTCGAGGCTACCCTGGGCTACGTAAGGAGTTTGGGGCTAGACTGTATCTCAAAAGGTTTTGGTTTGGTTTGGTTTTCAAAACAGGGTTTCTCTGTAACAGCCTTGGCTATCCTGGAACTCGGTTTGTAGAGCAGGCTGGCCTTGAACTCAGAGGAATTCATCTGCCTCTGTCTCCCAAGTGCTGGAATTAAAAGGGTGCATCATCACCACCACCCAACAATTTTTTTTTTTTAAAGTGAAGGAAAGAAATTTGCCAGCCTCCCGGAAAAATCTGTCACTCTCACAGCCCTCTGAGAGCCTACAGTGCATTTCCCCGAGTCTCCTCTGTTGCTCCATTCTCTTAAGTCAAAGATCCCCATTTCAGCTTGTGAGGGGCTCCCACTGGACCACCAAGAGAAGCTGGTAGGGAATGCTCTTTCCATGAGGAAGCCTGCCGCGAACCAGGCTCCATTCATTCTGTGTTTGCTCCTCAGCACCACCCTAGAGGGCTGGGTCTAGATCTCCACTTTGCAGATAAGGAAACTGAGGCCAAGAGAGGTCTGGAAAGTTACTCAGTGCCTCCTGGCTAGAAAGAGGTAATGTCAAGATTCCCACCCAAGTTTGTGTGGCTGTGGCTGCAAAGCCAGGCTGTCTCTGCATCCCCTGAACTAGCAAGCCTGACTCAGCCCACCAGCCCTGTGCATCTGATAGAATGCCCACTTCCACCCAGGACCCCGGGTTCAGGCACCACGGGCTCATGGGAAGGAGCCATGAGTACCCAGGGCAGGCTGGACTCCACAGTTCTGAATAGGGGAGGGATGAGCTGTGTTTAGTAAACTGAGTGCTCTCCAGGGCCCTACCCTAATTTCCATCCTGGGAAACCATGGATAGGATTCATGACCCTCTAGAGGGGGGGCAGCTTGTGCACCCCCAGTTTCCACCACCTTTGCCAGACAGTACTCCACCCATCGATTCTCTCTGATTCCTGGCTCTCACCAATGCTTTCTTTCTCCCCCCCCACCCCCAACAAGATATAAAGTACATCGAAGTGACCTCCACCAGATCAAGATGCTTCGACGGTCCCCAACGCTGCTCCAGCCCATGTGTGACTCCACCCTTTGGCTCCCCACGCAATGGCAGCCTCCTTTTCTCCAGAGACATTCCCCGAGAGACTCGAAGCAGCAGCGAGAGCCTCATCTTCTCTGGGAACCAGGGCAGGGGTCCCTCTCCCCACACCCCATCTTCCCTTAGCAGTTCCAGCTCTGGCCAGGAAAGCAGGGCCTCAGGCTCCCCACTGGCCACTCCTCCAGGCTGGGAGAAAGGGCCAAGGGCCCCCCAGCGGGGCAGCAGGGTTTCTGTGCTGTCAGCCAGCCCCACGTCAGATGTCAGCTATGTATTTGGAAGGTAAGTTCATGACGTTGCATGCATGGTGACACACACATGGACACGGACACACACACAACAGAAGGGCACTCTGTTCTGTGAGCAAAATGTACAGGCATCAAGAATAAAAGATTACACATTGTCTGGGCTGTGGTGGCACACTCCTTTAATCCCAACACTTAGAAGGCAGAGGTAGCTGGATCTCTGCGAGTTCAAGGCCAGCCTGGTCTACAGAGCTAGTTCCGGGACAGCCAGGGCTACACAGAGAAACCCTGTCTAGGAAAAGACAAAAAAAAAAAAAAAGGAATACATGTCTTTTCTACCATCACAGCCATTTCTATCTCAAATTCCCCTCAAAGCATTTAATCATAATTCAGTGTCCTGAACTCATGGCTTCCATTAACTTTTTGAGAATAGAGTACTACGTTAATGAGACTCACGTGTCTTCTTTCCAGCCTCCACATGACCCATTTGGAGGAAGGGTCATTAAAATTCAGGGTAGCTCAATGTCAGCCTGCTCTGGCTTAGGACCCCAGTTCAGTTCCCAGCCCCCACAAGGCAGCTCACAATCCTCTGTTGCTCCGGTCCTGGGAGATCCAGTGCCCTCCTCTGACCCCCCACAAGCACTGTCCACACACAGCACACAGGCGCACACACAGGCGAGACCCTCACATGCACAAAATAAATAATTTTTGAAAAATTAATAAATAAATCTCAGGAGTATAAACAGACTTGGGGGCCTGAGATGAAACAACCAGGAATGAAAGCCCCCCCCCCACACGTGCTACTGACAAAACCTGGTAGGAGGCACCAACTTTATTTAAAGGGATCCCAGCTCCCTGATCTTAGGCCTCCCAGTATCACACAACAGCCCATCCAGGATAACCAAACCACAAGACCTCAGTCCCACACACCAACTTCAAAGGCATTGACCATGGCGGCCCCAGGCATAGGAACCAGGGATCCACTACCATGCTTGCTGGCCTAGTAGTGTTAGCCTCCTCCAGCTAGATAGCTGCCCTGCACCAGCCACAGGCATGTCCAGCCCAGGTGCAGCAGCCTCTCAGCAGGCCTTTTGAAGGTGCTGGGGCATGGAGATCCTCCTGTCTGTGATGGTTCTCAGATCAGCTTGACTGGGAAAGCAGGAAGAACCCAGGCCGGCCTAACTGCTGGAGGTTAAACCCACCAGCTTGCTTAAATGACGAAAGGTTCTCAGGTCCAAGGAAGGTTCTGTACCCTGTTGCACGCTTGAAATTCAGATGGGGTACTCTTTGTTCTGGGTTTAGGGTGAGTGTATATGCAGTGCTCTATTTGACCCTAGATAGGGCCCCCAGATGGCTAGATTCCAGAACATAGCTCTGGTCCCCACTAACCACCCGATACCCTAAGACTCCATCTGCTCTCTTCTGCAGCAGCCAGTCCCTCCCGCTCTCAAGCCTCTCCAGCTTCCAGTCGTCTTCGCGATCCTTGGCGAGTCCAGCCAGCTCCTCTTCCAGCCTTCACAGCCTGGACCGAGGGTCCCAGTGTGGGAGACCTGGTGATGCCCAGGCTCCCAGCAACCCAATACCGAACATGGGCCAGCCCCAAGCAGCCCACTGTCCTCCAGTAGCCAAAGAGCAGGCCAGCAGTTGCCCCCCTTCTGTCACCAACTCCATGGTGGACGTACCCATTGTGCTAATCAATGGGTGCCCAGAACCACAGTCTCCCCCAGCCCGGCAGACACCAGGACACCAGGGCTCTGTCCAGCCTCGGACTGCATCTCCCAGCCACCCCTGTCAGGCTACCAAGAGCCACAGTCAGACTCTACCAGATGGTCCTGTCGCTGCATCTCCAGATGGTACGTAGTAATCCAACACCTTTAGCATCTGAGGGTTTAGTTAAGAGGACTAGTCAAAGACCAAGGGGACTTTGCAACAGGCAGCTAACATTTTTATCGACTACCCACTTTTATTGACTCCCGCAGTGTTGGTACACCAAGCACTGTGCCAGGGTGTGAGGATACACAGATGGACACAGTCTAGAAAGAGTGACCCAACCCAAGACCTACCATAGAGTAGGGTCCTTGCAGAGGTATAGACGCTTCATAGGTGACAGATGAAGGAGTGGACTAGGCAACTTGGAGAATGGAGGAGATGACACTGAAACTAGCCAGCACCCAGAGGAAGGGGTAAAAGGCATTCCTTGCAGAGGTAACTGTGACCGCACTGCTAGGGCAGTGTGCCCGCACAGCACAGCAAGGAAATTTGTGGGATGTTAGGTGCAGGTCACTGGGAACAGTGGCAGATTGTGGCAGAGTGTCAGAGGCCAAACTAAAAAGTGGGTTGTGCTGTTTAGACAACAAGGGCCGTTTTACTCTTTAGACAATAAGAAACTGAAGCAGGGAAGAGGATGTGGGGTCAGCAGTGCAAACGTAATGGTTTACCATGGAAGCTGCCTGGCAGGAGGGTTGTGAGACTGGAACCAGGGCTGGGCAGCTGGAGAGAGGGAGGAAACAGAACCAGGCAACCCTCGGGCAATCTGAAAAAATGCATAGTGACCCAAGGAGAGCCAGTGAGTACATCAGTCCTCACTCTGACGTTCACGGATGACAAAACCATAGAGGGGCAAGTGGGGAATGGAGACAAGGCATTCCAACGCAGATGGCTGAAAACCACAAAATGGCAAACACCCTTCTTCCCGGAGCTTGTGACTATAGACATTCAAAGAACCCAAAGCAGTAAACACAAGCTGAGCTGGAGCACCCTTGGGGTAGTCCCAGACTCTCCTCCCTCAGCTGTCTGGCAAACGAGAAAATGGCACCTCAGCCAGGCCTTTCAAACAACAAACTTTATCTATTACCGGAGGGCCCCACGTGCCACAAAGCACATGTGAAGGTCAAAGTACTTTTTTAAGTGGGTTGACTCTTTCTACCTTGACGTGAGTCGAAGGGGATCAAACTCAGGTTGTCAGACCCACATGCCAAGAGCTATGGCCCACTGAGCCATCCTACCAACACTAACACTATTTCCACCCTTTATGATAGGGCTTAATTCTGTAGCCAAGCTGGCTTTGACCTCAGTGTAATCCTCCTGCCTCAGCTTCCCAACTTCTGGGATGACAGCCATGAACCACCACCTGGTTGTATGGCGTGTTAGGGATCGAACCCAAGGCTTCATGTGTGCTAGGCAAGCACTCTACCCACTGAGCCACGGCTCCGGTGGGGTTTTCCTCCTTAGGCTATTTAGAGAGACCCTGGTGATGGGTGATCAGGAAGGATGAGTGGCATAGGATCCCTGGGAAGAGGAGCAGGACAGGTTTCCAGCATTCTCCCCGCTTGTCTCTCAGCCACCCTCTACCCAGTTTACAGGGTGCCCTTCTCTGCCTGTCTCCAGGTGCCACCAAGGGCATGCAGCCCACCATGAAGTTCGTGATGGACACATCCAAATACTGGTTTAAGCCAAGCATTACTCGAGAGCAAGGTAAAGCCAGCAATGTATTTTAGGAGACAAGTGTCCCCGTAACTATATCTAGTGAGTACTATGCAGCAGGGAGATGGGACCTTTGGTCACGGTTGTAAGGAAGGTGGGAAATAGCAGCCCATGGGAGGGTGGGTGACCTGCTGGCCTTATTAGGAATTAGGAAGTAAGCAAAACCTGCAGAAAGTAGACAAGAGCAAGGACTTCTGGGGGACAGAAGGTTGTGTGACTTCTCTGGGAGGACCCTGTGGGGATGGGCAGAGAGAGTGTCCGTGTAGAGTGAATCAGCCTCTAACCAAACACTGTTCCAGCAATCGATCTGCTGAGGAAGGAGAAGCCAGGTGCTTTCGTCATCAGGGACAGCTCCTCCTACCGGGGCTCCTTTGGCCTTGCCCTGAAGGTACAGGAGACACCAGCTTCTGCCCCAAATCGACCAGGTATGTACTTTTTGCTTTATCACCTCAAAGTCCTCACCATTGTGGACTCTGTCCCAATTTGACAATGATGATCAGGATGACTCCCAGGAAGAGAGTCCTGTCTCCTGGCTCTCCCAGCTGCCCTCCAACACCTAGGCACCATGAGGAGCATCTCTGAATGCCTAAGATGCCCCGCCTCCTCAGATTCCCTGTTCCACCCTTTAAGGATGGAGGAGGGGGAAGGTCCCAGCCTCTCCTCAGCCGGCTGTCTTTTGAGCACTTCTGTCTAGACTGGATTTATCTCCAGCAACCTACTGTGACTAATGTATGCATGGACTTATCACACTCCCAATATCGTATCATTCTTGTAATAACTCACCACGTGTTCAATAGCTCATCATGCTGGGCCGTGGCCTTTAATCCCGCATTCGGGAGGCAGAGGCAGAAGGATTTCTGTGAGTTCGAGGACAACCTGGTCTACAAAGCGAGTTCTAGGACAGCCAGGGCTACAAAGAAACTCTGTCTTGTAAAAAAAAAATTGTTCATCCTATGTGAGACAGTTTATCACATATGTAACTGCTAATCACATATGTGTGATAGCGTGTCTGCCCTCCTATGAGCTCATGGGCTTATCTGGTAACTCAGCACACACATCTCTGAGGGGTCTACCACATGCCAGACCCTGTGTAAGAACTAGGCATGTAGGGGACTCATTCCCATTTGGAAACCACCTCATTGGGGAGTTTAGGTGAGAAAAACTAACTGGGACCATGCTATAAGGTCCCAGGGTAACAGTCCCCTCACTTAAGCCCAAGACCCCCCAAAGAATTAAGACATAGAATGAGGATGGACTACCAACCTTGTGTTCTTAGCAAGGGTTTGGGGGTTTGGCTCAGTGGTAGAGAGAGTGCCGGGTATGGGTTACAGCCACAGCAGGGGGTGGGGAGTGGGGAGTGATCAGCCACCTCTGGGGCACTGTTGGTTTTCAAGGAAGCTTTTCAAAGAGCCTCCCACGAGCCCAAATGGAGGAGGAAGCTGTGGTTGGTGAGGTCAAAGGGCACTCTGCTGCCTGTCAAAGACAGCCTTGTTCCTGCAGGGAGGAGCTGATGGGAAATAATGGCACCTGGGATGAGCTGGGGCCATTTCTAAACACGGCCTCATCTGAGCGAAGGTGCTGCCACTTTGGAGCCCATGAACTCGGGCTTCCTAGTCCAGCCCCACAGGGAGGCAGAGGCTCCTGCGAACCTCAGAAGGATCTGGAAGAAGTGGTTGGGGTCCTGCGAACCAGGCTTTGGCTAACATCAAGCTCTGAAACAAAACTCCTTCCTTCTTTGTCCAGGTGAGGATAGCGCTGACCTTATACGTCACTTCCTGGTGGAGTCTTCAGCCAAAGGGGTGCATCTGAAAGGAGCAGATGAGGAGCCCTACTTTGGTAAGCCTCCTCAGCCTCCCCCCCCCCACCTCCCCAGCCTCTGCAGCCTCCCTACCCTCCCCAGCCTCCAGGCCTCCCTAACCTCCCTAGTCTCTGCAGCCTCCACAGCTTCCCTAGCCTCCCCAGTCTCTCTCCCCTACCTCCCCAGCCTCCCTACCCTTCACAGCCTCCCCAGCCTCCACAGCCTCCCTAGCCTCCAGGATGTGGTCTCCTGCACTGTGAAGGGGGCTGGGGAAGCCCTACTTACTTACTCAGGGCTTCCTGCTCCTTTGCAGGGAGCCTCTCTGCCTTCGTGTGTCAACACTCCATCATGGCCCTGGCTCTGCCCTGCAAACTCACCATCCCACAGAAAGGTCGGTGTCTGGGTCAGACCTGTGGGCTCTTACTAAAAGTGGCTACCAAAGTGGCCACTTCAACCTTGTTTATGACTAATTTTAGGGTCAGTATGACAAGTACGTGATCTGGACTAGATCCATGTCTCTCCATTTCCCATTTAAGGATGTCCGCTCCTCTGAGCCCCCAGTGCCCACCACACACACACAAATAAGAACTTGTTTTTGGTTTTTTGTTTGTTTGTTTGTTGGGTTTGGGGGGTTGTTTTTGTTTTTGTTTTGTTTTTTGTTTTTCGAGACCGTGTTTCTCTGTGTAGCCTTGGTTGTCCTGGAACTCACTCTGTAGACCAGGCTGGCCTCGAACTCACAGAGATCCACTTGCTCCTGCCTCCTGAGTGCTGGGACTAAAGGCGTGCGCCACCCCTGCCCTACAAGAACAACCATCTTTTAGGCAAACCCAAAGTGTCAGCACCCAGATTCAGTGAGATTGTTCAGGCAAGGCATACACCACAGTGCCTGGCCCGGAATAGATCTCAGAGCAGCAGATCTTACCTGTGGGTCGTGACCCCTGCAGGGGTGGGGAAGGGTCAGATGAACCTTTCACAAGGGTTGCATGCCAGATATTTATATTATGGTTCATTATAGTAGCAAAATCACAGTTACAAAGTAGCAATGAAAATAATGTTATGGTTGGGGGTCACTACAACATAAGAAACTGTATTTAAAGGGTCACAGCATTAGGAAGGTGGCATTAGGTCACTGGCTTAGAGGGTGAATAGCCTTCTTGAAAGCACTGAAGAGCCTAAATCTAACAGTCTGGATGAACAATCTGGTATTATTCCCCACACACATACCGCCTCCACCACCCTTATAACCCATAGGTAAGCAATGAGGCTGTGGTCTTTCCCTGTAGTTCCAGCACTTGGGAGGCCAAGGCAAGGTGACCAGGGACTTGAGACTATACAGTGAGTTCCAGTCCAGTCAACACTACATAATAAGACCGATAAAAAGAAGGAAGGAAAGAAAAGAGGGAAGGGGAGAAATTAATGAGGTTCTAGGCTTAAGTAGCTGGTCCACAGGCGGACAGCTCAGTTCAGCAGCCTCAGTCACAGCCTGCAGCCTCCCAGGAGCTCCCAGACCCAGGGGGTCATCTCAGTTGTGCAGGAGGAAGGTGGAGCAGGAAGAGCCCTAAGCAAGCAATGGAGACACAGCACCCCTACTCTGCAAAGAAGAGGATGGGGGGGCGGGGTCCAAAATAAGAGGTCAGGGGCTTGTGAGGACAGGGTCAGAGCAGCAGGCCCAGACCTGGGAGGCTGGCGGGGAGAGGTGGGAAGGGATCAAAAGGCTCGCAAGCTAGGCAAAATGGTCCTCATGGCTCTAATTGAGGCAATCGCACCTGGCTTCCCAGCCTGTCACTTCCTGGAGGTGGGGGTGGCTGTGGGAGGTGTTCAAAGGGATTCTTGCTGGCTGCTCCCCTGAAAGAGGTCCACTCTCTTCCCTCTCCCCTGGGGCATTTGCCTTTGCCTCTGTTCAGAACTGGGAGGCGCAGAACCAGCGCTGGACTCCCCCACGCATGGCCAGACCTCTTGCCTGAAGATATCAGCTGGTGAGTGGTATAGGGGAGGTACTGGGTTCACCGCACCCTGGAGACCACTTCCCAGCCCCATGAACACACACACACACACACACACACGCACGCAGACTCACACAAGCCCACACATGCTTCCCATTACCGCTTTGTTTCTGCAGCCTTAACAGCCCACAGCACACCCCCTCCTCGTCCTCATAAACCAAGGAGATGAGAGGCTGCCGCTGTGGGCCAGTGGGGAGGAAAGAGGACTGGGCACAGGGGAGGGGGTTCTGGTAAGCCAACACTTTTGCACATATTGTACACATATCTGTAATAGTGTCTCTCTGTGTTTGAGATTCCTGCCCTGGGGGTGGTCTCCAGGTCTGGATCCTCTGTTGGGGAGGAGGGGTGAGGTCTGAATCTTAAGGGTTTCAATGCTCCCCGCTTCCAGAGGCCAAGCATCCATTAGCACTCAGTGGTGGCTCCTTTGTGACCCCCTCCCCCTAAGCACAGTGGCTCCCCTCCTCCTGTTCTTTCTCTCTCTCCCTATTCTCACCAAAGGGTGGGGGGTGAATCGAAGGTAGAGGAAAAGAAGTTTTGGCTACCCTCGGACTCCTAGTCTCTTTGGTGGCTCTCAGAGGATCCCAGTGGATTCCTAAAGAAGAAAGGCATTCCCTCTTCCCTGTTCCTGTCCCTGGACCTGAGCCCAGCGAGCCATACACATTGTAAGACCCTGGCTACAGACCCCTCTCAATATCTGCATCCCACAGGCTGCCACACGCTGTACCTGAGCTCGGTGAGTGTGGAGACCCTGAGCGGAGCCCTGGCTGTGCAGAAGGCCACCTCAGTCACCTTGGAGAGGGATGTCCTCCCCACACCTACTGTGGTCCATTTCAAAGTCACTGAACAGGGCATCACTCTGACAGATGTCCAGAGAAAGTAAGGGCTTCGCCTAACTCCTGGGCTGCAAGACTAACAGAGCAAGGCTGGAGGGAAGGTGGGGAACAGAGGTCAGGGCCCCGGATGTGAAAGGGTTAGCAAATGCTAGGCGATATCAGACAAGGTCCCTGCCTTCTTAGGCCTCCATCATTGGAACCAACAGGGTTGAAGTTGGGCAGTTTTCATTGGGTGCTGGTTATCTCTGTATAGGCCAGACACCAATGACTCCTCAGACCGTGCAATGAGCTCGCCCCAGGACTTGGAGACTCAACCTAGCCAAAACCTTCCCTAATTTAACCAGGCAAGAGTAGACCAAGCTGTAACTCCTGGCCTCACAAAATGAATGCCAGGGGGATGGGTGGCAGAAGACCCCAGTAGAAGAACATAAGGCAGGTCTATTTCATGGGAGAAGAAAGTGAGGGAGAAAGCATGATGGGTTGTAAGAATGCTACTAGGATGGGACGTGTGAACTTCGGGGGACCCAGAAATGCGGAAATGGGGGCGCGGCGTAGGAATAGACCCTCATCAGCCTGACTTTTCTTCCTGCATCCACCCAGGTTGTTTTTCCGACGCCACTACCCACTCGCCACCCTCCGCTTCTGCGGAATGGACCCCGAGCAACGGAAGTAAGTTCAAGGCTGAGTCAAGCTAAGAAGGCTGCTCCAGGCCTAGCAGCCTTCCATGGTACCTGGGATTGAAATAGCAGAGGTGGCCTGTGAATCCTAAGAGGTCGGGGAACAGGCCATGTCGGGCATGGCAGAGTGGAGACATGGCTCCCACTGTTCATCAGCATCCTGAGGAGCCAGGCAGAGCTCCGTCACTCACTCCTCTTGTGTCCCTTTCTTTCAGGTGGCAAAAGTACTGCAAAGCTTCCAGGTAAGCCCCTCCCACCACTCAGTGGCTCTAAGAGGTGGCCTTGTGCCAGGGTTCCAGACCTGACAGAAAGAGAGCAGGCCAGGTTTGGCAGTACACACCTGTAATCCCAGAATTTAGGAGTCTGAAGCAGGAGGATTGCTATGAATCAAGGTCAGTTCCAACTAGCCTTGTCTATGTAGTCAGTTCCGGGCTATACATAATGAAACCCTACTGTAGGCAGAGGAGGTTTCTGTCCTGCCAGCCATCTCCCAAATAACCACACAGAGACTTATTATTAACTGTAAATGCTTGGCCGATAGCTTAGGCTTATTACAAACCAGCTCTGACAACTTAAATTAACCCATATTTATTAATTCACATGTTACCACATGGCTCATGGCTTGTTACCTCATTCTCTATACATCCTGCTTCCTCTGCCTCTGGCTGGTGACCCCGCCCTTCTTCCTAGCATTCTCCCAGCTTGACTCTCCCACCTAACCTCTTCCTGCCTAGCTATTGGCTAGTGAGTTCTTTATTAAATCAATGAGAGCAACACATCTTCACAGTGAACAAGAGGATTATTTCACAGTGCCATATCTCAATGGAAATAAAGGAAGGAGGGGAGGGACGGAGGGTGGGAAGAAGAGAAGAAGGAAGGAGGGAAGGAAGGAAGGAAGGAAGGAAGGAAGGAAGGAAGGAAGGAAGGAAGGAAGAGGGTTTCCATCTTGGTCTTAGGAGCCAGTGTGGTATGGCTCTTATAAGATCTCCTAGTCTGGAGCCCAAGGTGTTATACTGGAGGCATAGGCTTTTGGGGGTTTATTTATTTATTTATTTATACAGTATCCTGCCTGTAGGTCAGAAGAGGGCACCAGATCTCATTACAGATGGTTGTGAGCTACCACATGGTTGCTGGGAATTGAACTCAGGACCTCTGGAAGAGTAGTCAGTGCTCTTAACCGCTGAGCCATCTCTCCAGCCCCAGAGGCACAGGTTTTATCTCAGAGCTGTAGGGATGATTATCAAGTACATTCTTGCCCTAATGGAGCTTCCCAGTCTTGTCCTCAGGGAGCCCTATTCAAAATGGAAACCCAGAGTCTGAAATAAGTGCTTGCCCAGTTGGACAAGAGAGGCACCTTCTTCCTTTAGCTGCTCCATTAAAAGGAGGTACTGAAAGTGCTGGGGAGGTGACCCAGTGAGGAAAGTGTCTGCCACTCAAGCATGAGGACATGAGGTCAGAGCCCCAGAACCCATATGAAAAGCCAGACGGTATGTCTATAACTCCAGTGCTGGGGAGGCAGGGACAAGCGGATCCCTGGTGCTCATTGGCTGGCCAGCCTAGCCAATGAGTGAGCTCTAGATTCATTGAGAAACCTTGTCTCAAAATTAGTAGAGAGCAATTGAGAAAGACATCCAACACCAACCTCCATACACATGTATGGACACATGCCATGTCCCCGCAAACAAGTACATACCACACATACACACACACACACACACACACACACAAGATACAGTACACAAATTCTGCAGCTGTCTGGCTTGGGGAGAAGCAGTGAGGCGCAAGTTGAGTGTCCTCCCCTTCCAACACCCCCCTCAGCATGATGCTTCTCCTCTCTAGCCCATATCCCCACAGCTGTCTTCTCTCAACAGGATCTTTGGGTTTGTGGCCAAGAGCCAGACGGAGACACAAGAGAACGTGTGTCACCTCTTCGCAGAGTACGAAGCAGTCCAACCAGCTCTCCAGGTGGTCAGTCTGGTGACTGCTCTGCTCCAGGACACAGACAGGGTATAGAAGGGAGCTACCTGTGCACCTTCCCTGACATCTCAAGAGACTTTCCCTGGCCATGCCGCTGTGGCCACGTCGACAGACTTGACTGTTGGACCTGAGGACAGAGCAAGTTGAAGCTTTGGAGCCTGCTGTGACATTCAGCAGTAACCTTCACCCAATTCTTGGGCCTCAGGCTCTTTAATTATATATAAAGGAACCCAACCGCAAGAAAATGGTCCCTTGGAGACTCAGCTGGGAATCTTCAGTGTGTTCCTCCACGCTACTGAAGCCCACCCACATCCAGGACTCCCTGTGTAAAAATTGCCTGCAACGACACTCTGGCTTCATCCGCTTGAACACTCCCTTCGTGGCAGGTTGAGCCAGAGGCCTATGACCCCTGCAAACAGCAAACAGCAGGTGCTGGGTCAGAACTCGTAGGCCCCTGGCTGGAAGCCGGTGATGATGTGTGCAGTTTGGGGACAGGTTCGATTTCCCTCACACCTGTCTCTTCCCTGCTGGCCCAGGATTCTTTTGTTTTCAAGAGATGGAAAGGTTTGGGGGTTGTGAACATAACTGTGTTGCTAGAGGATTTACCTGACAAGGACAAGGGCTGGGCTCGATCACTAAGCACAGTGGTGAATGCTGAAAAATCCCAGCACTTGAAGAGGCAGGAAGATCAGAAGTTCAGGGTCATTCTTAGCTACATGAGTTTAGGTCAGTCTATGCTACATGAGACCTTGTTGAGGGAAAGAGAAAGAAGGAGAGAGAGAGAGAGAGAGAGAGAGAGAGAGAGAAAGAGAGAGAGAAGGAGAGAGAGAGGGAGGGAGGGAGAGAGGGGGGGGTTAACGTTTTCATAGATCTCACCCATGGAAGGGGGTACCACTTCAAGAAGGAGCTGCTGTGGGGGGAGAGTTTCAAAGTGGGAAGGTGCCTGCAAGGTCCAAAATCTATGATGGAGAGGAGACAGGGTCAAGGGCCTCAGCCAGAGCAGACCTGGCAGCCACAGTGCGTGTACCCTGTGGCGCAACCCATTTCAGCTTGCTTTGAGGGACCCATCAGATGCTGTCAGAGTCGAGTCTGAACATAGACCGGGAGTGAGTTTTTGTACCCCTCGCTTCTTTCCGCTTTGCAATCAAGGTTCTGTCAGTGGAGCCCTCTCTAATGCAGTATTTAAAACACTCTCACATCTGGAGATCTAGGTGTTGCAGTCTGATCAACTCCTAGCCATCTGGTGGAACTTTCTGGATTCCTCTGATTTTTAGGTATAATTTGCCAAGGCCTTGGGATCTTTTTCCCAAGAGCATGCTAGGAAAATCCCTAGCCTCTGCAGTTACAAACTTGGGCTATTGTCTAGTTGGTCAACTGCTCTGTGATGTTGGCCCGGGATTCTGAACGCTAGCTTGGCTGTGTCTGTGGGGCTAGCTTAATAGAAGACCCTTATCCCCATGGTCAGAAAAATCTCGGCAGTGCTCACATTCTTAATGTCTAATCCATCCTTCCCAATATATTACAGATGAATATCCCCCCCATCTTTGCTTTCAATTTCTTGATAAGCACGTGCCCCAGAACAGGTATCACAGCTGCCTGGCATTGCTCTCATAACCAACATCTAGTGGATGAAAATGAGAGACCCTGTTGCTATAATACATATAGGGGTGCATTTCCCTGCCCCAAATCCATTCTTGCTGGGTCCTCCAGTTCCAACACACAAACACTATATGGCGTCACCAGCCTTACAAACACAAGGGGGCAGGAGAGAGTCAAGAATACAAAGAGGCAGCTTCTCCAGCTGGTTGGAGAAGTTGGACTCGTCCCCTCCCACATTCAAGGCAGTCCTGCAAAACCTGTTGCTCTTCTTCCAGCCTGCCTACCTCCTTAGGAGACTTCCGTGGCGTGCAAGGGGATGCTCACAGAAGCCCGCTGTAACTCACTGTGGAGCAAGTGTCTATCCCCCTCCTGTCGTCAGCCTACAGAGCACCATTGTCCTTGGCCAAGGTCAGACCTGAGGGATTATGATTTCAACTTAGGAAAAGAGAATCAGATGGGGAGTGTGGAGGTGGAGTGGGGAGGGTGCTAGGCTCGCATTGCAAGCTAAGACGGGCCTTCCAGCATTAGATGGACTCCGTTCCACCCATTCTAGGCTTAGTGGGAAGAGTCCTTCATACATCCCTGTATACTTCATGGAAAATAAAGTTTCTTTGTACAATAGCTGGTCCTGGACATCCAGAGCTATCTCTTGAGTGCTGAGCAGAGAAGGGCACCCAGCAGAACAGAGTAAGATCTACCTGAACACACTACATGTATGCATTGCCCATGGAGGCCAGAAGAGGGTGTTGAAACTCCCCTGGAGTTAGATAGTTGTGAGCCACTGTGTAGTGCTGGGAATTGAACCCAGGTCCTCTTGAAGAGCAGCGGGTGCTCCTAATCACTGAGTCGTCTCTCCAGCCCCCAGGGTAGTGGATTTTTTTTTTTCTGTTTTTGTGGTCATTGTTAGCATGTGTGGTTGTGTGAACTCGGGCATGTATGGATCTCACTCTATTGCCCAGGATGGTCTGAAACTCATGGCAGTCCTCCTGCCTCAGCCTTCTTGTGCTGGGATGGAAGGGCATGAGCCATCACACCCAGCTGCGAGAAACCACTTTTTCAAGACAGGTTTTCTCTGTGTGACCCTGGCTGTCCTGGAAGTCTGTAGACCAGGCTAGCCTCAAACTCATAGAGATCCACCTGCCTCTGCCTCCGGAGGGCTGGAGGGCTGGGATTAAAGGTGCGCATCACCACCACCCTTCAAGAAATCACCTTTTACTGAAGGGCTCCTATGTGTTCATTGCCATGAGGAGTGAGTTTTATGTTTAATCTTCAGATTAGGAAACCGAGGCTTGGAGGTCACCTGCCCAACAAGTGGCCAGTCCTACTTCTCCAGCCTTCTTAGGCAGGAAAACAAATGTATGCATGAAGCACAGAAGTGTGGAAAGATGTGTTGTATTCCGTGTGTCTGCCTATAAAGTTCCCCAAGGAGCAGATGAAAGAGGTGCCAGGGCCACCAGAACTTTCAGCATGTGATCAAAAAAATCTAGAAAATTAATTTTTTTCCCCTTTTAAAGAATGACTCGGCGATTAAGAACACTGGGTACTCTTACAGAAGGCCCAAGTCAGCAGCTTACAACCACAAATAACTCCAGTCCCAGGGCAGCTGACCCCCTCTTCAGGCCTCCATAGGCACCAGGCATGCATGCAGTACACTTACACACACGGGCCAAAAAAAAAAAAAAAAAAAAGCAATTACCCTCGATGGAAAAACCTTTTAATGTCTCCCTATTACCTCTAGGGTGAAGTCCAAGAGCGTGGCCGTGATGCTTGCACATTGCACAACCTTTTGAACAGCACAGTGGTCCTGAGGCTAACCTCATTTTCTTTTTTTTAAGATTTACTATGTGTTCTGTGCTTTAGAAGCATGGCTGTGGGGCAGGAGGCAGGATCTGACGCCGGGGCTGGGAGGAGTGTGAGTGGGTAATGGGTCTGTGTGAACTTGGAGTTCAGAGCAGGACAAAGAAATGCCTAGAAGAAACACTCTGACCTTGCCTGGTCTGGGCCTAGCTTCCTGGTTCTCTGGGGGCCCTGTCACCTTCAGTGCAGGTTACTAGGACAAATAACCACGTTGAGAGGCCTCAGCCGTTAGATACTGACTTCCGTAACCCTGGAAGCAAGATGTAGAGGTCAGGGTACAGGATGGCCAGGCTCCACCGAACGCCCCATCCTCCTGCCTCACTGACGGCCACCTTCTCACCGGGTGCTCACATAGGTCATTACAGGGAGGGAAAAGAATTCATGTTTCTTAGAAAGCATTAGTCCCGCTGGGTAGCGCACACAGAGACGGCTCAGTGGGTAAAGCCCTGGGGGAGGCAGAAGCAGGAGGATCAATGCCAGCTCACAGCCAGTTAGCCTACTGGGGCTACAGAGGGAGACCCTGTCTCCCAACCAAAGAATTAAAAAACACTGTGTGCTGAGTTGTAGTATGAGGAGTGAAGACGTGGGGACCCTGGGGGCAGCCCCTGTCTGTCTCCAGCCTCAAGCTGCTGGGAACATCTGAAAAGCCCACCCCTTCTATTTCTACCTGGAAACTGGTACCTCTCCCCCTCAGCCACTCTAGAGACCCTTTCACTCTGACTCCCTAGGGAAGCACACTCTCCCACCTCCACAACTGTCCTTGAGGCCCAGGGGGGCCAGGACAGGAGAAGGGAGGACAAGAACCCCCCCCCCATCTGCTGTCTTAGCAGCCACTGGTCTGTCCGCTTTTGCTCAGCTGTCTCCTTTGTTGTTCATTTATTCTCTCAGCAAACACTCACTGAGCATCTACTGTGTGCCAGGCTCAGGAGAGCCAAAGGGAAACAAATAAGAACTCGTGTGTTTTAGATAACCAGAGAAGCGAATGTTCTGGAAAAGCCCAGTGAATGAAAAACACACACACGTCAAATAGGACGGTGGAAGAGCCGTGCGGGCACAGTGGCTGATGCCGAGAACCAGCACTCAGGAGTCCAAAGGAAGAGGAGTATCACTAGTTCAGGGCCAGCCTGGGCTACCTAGGAAGTTCCAGACCAGCCTGAGCTACAGAGTGAGACCTCGTCAAAGGAAGAAAGGAAGGGAAAAGAAGGAGGGAACAAAATAAAGAGAAAAGGAATAAAAGAAAAAGTGGAGTGCTGGAGAGATGGCTCAGTGGTTAACAGCACTGACTGTTCTTCCAGAGGTCCTGAGTTCAATTCCCAGCACCCACATGGTGGCTCACTACCATCTATAATGAGATCTGGTGCCCTCTTCTGGGGTGTAGGTACACATGCAGGCAGAACACTGTACATAATAATAATTTTAAAAAAAAAAGATAAAGAAAAAGTGGGGAGGCTATAAATAGGACGGCAGAGGAGCAGCCAAAGGACGTAACACTGGGCCGAAGGTTGAAAAGTCAACCTTGCAAAGAAGGGACTCAGGCTGAGGGAACAGCATGTGCAAAGGTCCTGAGGCTGGAGTGGGTGGTAGTAAAGAGGCTGGGGAACAGTGTATGAGAAGCCCAGGGCACCCAGTAGGAGGCTCCCGAGGCTGTAAAACAGGGTCCTTCCCACTGCCTTCCCCTGCTCCCAAGCCCAGTGTACCAGAGCAGAATCAATCCCTTAGGTTTGTGACCCCAGACACCTCGCAGGTGCTCACATACCCATGTCTTTCACATGGGGTCACGGCTCCTCTTCAGCAGTGACATACCTCTCCTTCCACTGCCCCAAGTGACTCCTCCTGACAGCGCTGCCTTCCAGATGTGAGTGTCCCTGTCTATTCAGGTGTCCAGAGATCCCCTCTCCAGTCGTGTGATGAATTGTTGGGGTAAGAATACCACCATCTGCCCTCACTGCTTCTGCTACCAGCTCATCTGTGGCGCAGACAAGCAGGTGTCTATGCCTGTCTCTGCCCCACTCCCACCCATCTTCATACTGGCTCAGCTTAACTACCAAACAAGAATGCTCATATAGGCTGCTGCTCCCGATCCTGGTCTTTTTGGCTACCAAGGAGCTGGCCCTGCTCCATCTGCCCACACTTGGCTCTCTCTTCTCAGATGTGACACTTCCCTGCTCTCCCCAAAGTTGCCTGTGTCCCCCACAAGTTCATCATCTGTACAGAGTAGGATTAGAATTGACCCTGCCTCAGCCTGCGTGGTCTTTTCCCTTCTTAGAGCCCCAAGAACAATCTCCATGTTTTTTATTAAGGGCCCTTTGCATTCTGGGAGCAGTCTTACCTTCCCACTCACTGTAGAGGTGGGAGGGAAAACATTTTCAGTATTTTCACGGCCCTAATTTATAGAGATTTTTATTTGTTTGTCCTTGCTTTTCCAGCTAGGATCTCACTATGTAGTTCTGGCTGTCCTGGAACCTGCTATGTAGACCAGGCTGGCCTTGAACTCACAGAGATCCACCTGCCTCTACCTCCTGAGTTCTGGGACTAAAGGCATGCACCACTATATAAACCCCTCTGTGCCTGGCATTTAGCATTCACCAGTTTCTAAACTTCTTTCTTTTGGGGACAAGCAACTGGGGCACCTGCAGAGGCTCCTATAGACCCCACTGTCGGACTCTTGAGAAAAAGGGGCTCACAGACCCAGGGAGCTTGAGTTCCAGCTGGCCTGGCCTGACCCCTGGCACAGCCACAGACAGGCCAGGGTCACTAGGCAGTCACATGTCACATTGAATGAGAAACCTTCAGCTATGGCTGAGAAATGAAGTCGGAAAACAACTCGGCGAAAAGCTATTGAACTTCTCTCACTTTATTAAAAAACAAAACAAAAAAAAACAATAAAAAAAAAACACTCCATTGTCCAACTAACTTTCGACGATGCTGGAAAATTGCACTGATTTCCTGAACAGTCTGGTCTAATTTCCCCTGGGTGGAGAAAGGCTTGTTCTCCCCTCCCTCTGAGTTCCTCTGGCTTGGAAATTCTAGCTCAAACACCAGGAGGAAGAGGCGGAAGCAACCCAAAGTTCCCCCAGCTAGCCCCATCTGCCAGCACCTAAGATTGCCTTGGGCAGCCCCCTACAGCTGCTGTGGGCCCAGGCAGCTGTTTTACAACTCCATCTCATTCCCTCAGCAACCTGAGAGCACTGAGGAGCTTGGCTTAGCTTGTCCACACCCAGCTGGGTCACCTCAGACTCAAGGCCCCATGGGCAAGCAGATAGACGGAGCCACAACTCTGAAATGTTGGCGTCGCTGCCAGACTTCTGAGAGAACCTCTGCAGTGAGGGAAGCCACCAGGCTCCAGATCTCTTGCCCCAGAGCTGACCCTAAAGGGTTTACTAGCACTAACTTCTTGACTCTTACCACTTTCCCATCCCCCCAGTCTGGGATCCTATCAGACCAACCAGATTGAATCCTTTGCTGACAGCATGGGACAAAGAGAGAACAAACCGGGTGGTTAATCAGCAATGCCTTTAGAGAATGTTGTTCAGAGACACAGGAGGACGTTGTCAGAACTGAATAAAGTCACACTGGGCATGGAAGCCCTGCCCTTTAATCCTGGGGAAGCTGAAACAGGAGGATGGGAAATTCGAGGCCACGTTAGCACTAGCTCAAACTGAGACTCACCAGTCTCAAACCAACGCGGGGTAGAACAAAGAGTCCTTTAGTGAGATACTGCGCACGTGCTTCCCAGAATGCCCGCCCCAGTGCCGCAATCGTCG